GTGACTTTCTAGTTTGGTAACAGCTGTGCTTCAAATGCTGCTCTTACAGGCTTATAGGCATTGCTATGTAAAAGTAAATTTTTGTGTGATGTTCTTTTTGTTTCTTTCTTTTGATCCACTTTCCTCATGGGGTGAGGATGTTTATTCCTAAATGTGTTAACCCCTCACAAGAAAGGGGGCAAGAAACTTGACCTCAGTTGGTTAGTCTTTCTTAGAAATCTTCTAAGGACTCAAGTGAAAGCCAGTTTCTTGCTTTTATAACTTTCAAAGTCTTAGTCAGAGCCCATATGTTACAACCTGGAGGAAATGATGCTTGGGGATGACTAACAGAACATGTTCCTGCTGTTAATTTGGGTGTCATTCCAGAAATTAAATTCGTAAGCTTTCCCTTTCATTTTGTTAACACATTTACTTACTAATTCTAGTCTTTGCTGTTGTTCCCCACTAAGGAACTTAATGAAGGGATAACTTTTATATTAACAAAGAGAGGTACTTGTTCACCCTGCCTTTGAGGAGCAGGGAGAAGCAGAGAGCATACATGTGTTACAGTAGTAGAAATATGATTTACAGATAGGAAATTCACTTTGATGTAGCTTCCTGCTGCAAACATTGTTTTATTCTGGTCTCTCTGAATGGGTGTGCAATTTACCAAGAATAAGGCTATAAAATATTAATTGGGAATTATTTCTTCCTTCCTAAAAGGAAGCAAATAGCTTTCAGTGGTTTCACACATGAAGCTGACCATGCAGTTGTAATCTAATTTTTAACAGGAAAGCTAGGAAAATTAATGAAGAAAAGGTAGCTTACAATTTATAGCCTTTTCTTGCCACTTGTTTAATATGTCTGTTAGATTGCCCTTCATAGTGGAGGATACACTGTATAACCTCAACCCAGTTAATGCTTCTTGATCTGTATGAGAGGTGAAATCCTGGAGCCAGGGGCAGCCCAGCAGTATGTGTGCCTGGCAGCGCTGTGCCCGAGATGCACCGGCAGCCCTCGCTGTTGTGGTTTCTTCTGCAGGACCACTCTGTAAGCACTTCACCACAGTAGTCCAGAGTAGCTGTAATAATCAGATATCGAATTCTCAGCGTAGGGTTGGGGCAGCCACCCACGGAGCAGCATGGCTGCGCTGGGGAATGCCTCTTTAGACCTGCCCACCTGGGTAGGCTGCATGGCAGCGGAGGCAGTCTCCTGTCTGCTCATGTGGTTTGTATGACTCGGTGCTTTTGTTGCTGCTGGGCATGACTTCGAGGTATGGCATCACAGGAAAATAACAGGCAGTTGATGAGTTTGTGTGGTGTGTGTATTTGCAAACCTGACAGAACGAAAGCTCTGAGGGTGAGAGAGCTCCATCCTGGATCCACTCTCTCTAGCTGTGCCGCCAACAAAGTCTGTACTGAAGCCTTTTAAGCTGACTATTCTTCACAGTTTATTAAGATGGAGGAACAAGTTAAATTCACAGATTCTTTCCTAGGAGTAACGTGAAGTGAGCAGCTGTCCTCCTTCTTGCTTAGTTCCGATTAACTTCTATTTGTATGGAAAAGTTGAACCAGCTCACTGTGATTGCTGTGGACTTTTGAAGGTTGGAAGTTTATTTTAGAAACCTTGGTGCTAAGTAGTAGGCTTAAGAAGCTTTCAATTATTTGAAATGGAGTTACAGTGTCACCTCCTGAGACGGCACTTTGTGTCCCAGTGTATCTCCCTGATCACACCAAGAAGAACATTTTCCAAATTTCAAGTCTTGTATCTTGAGGAAGCTTGGAATGGTGCAGCCTCAACAATGAGCTTGTTTGTCAACTCGGCGTTATGGTGCTGTTGTGCTCGTGAAGCTACGGCTAAGAAGGGCCATCATGCATGACTCTGAAAGGGTCCTACAAGAAAGTGGGGCAGGGACTATTCACAAGGGTTTGGAGTGACAGGACAAGGGGTAATGGCTTTAAGCTAGAAAAGGGGAGATTTAGGTTAGACGTTAGGAAAAAGTTCTTTGATATGAGGGTGACAGACCACTGGAACAGGCTGCCCAGAGAGGTGGTAGAGGCCCCATCCCTGGGGACATTCAAGATCAGGCTTGATGAGGCTCTGAGTAGCTTGATCTAGTTGGAGATGTCCCTGCTTATGGCAGGGGGGTTGGACTAGATGACCTTTGGAGGTCCCTTCCAACCCATTATATGATTGAACTTGGCATTCCTTGTTTACAGCATCGTAGAGCTGAACATCTGCTGCTGCAGGTGGCATGGTGGTTGATGACTCCTTGGGTGAACCTGGAAACTTGCTTCATTCCCCTAAATTTTGATAAATTTGGGTTATTCAAAGTGAGGCCCTAAATCCAGTCAAGTGGATTAGACTTCTTTGGCATGGCTTTTCCAAAGAATCCTTGCACACACCGTAAGGATGTTTTCCCTTGTGTAGATGACATGATGGGGAATACATGTCTGTGACCCTAATGAAGGTTTCTGGGATTTGGATTAAACCCTGAGGGAGTCATACTGTTAAAAGGGCGGTTTTGCTGCTTTGGAGTAGGAAACAGTTCAACTGGTTAAGCCCTTTCAGAAACAACTTACGCTTTGGCCAGCAACTCACATGCCAGGTTCAGCCTGGTGGGATTTAGGGAACGTTGTCTGAGCTCTTACAGTGCTGGAGACCCCTCCCATAATGGGGAATAAAGCATGCAAGGGTGGCTCCTTTGCTCCAAGCCCTGCCTGTACCTCTTCTCTGACTTTGCCTCTGAAGTGTTAGTACTGGACTCAGGCTTTCTTCTGAGAAAGCTGTCATTCTGATGGAAAAAAAAAAATCAAGAATCTTTTTACTGTAGTTACAGATAAAACACATATTTATCTTCCAGAATTACTTTGTTGCAGTTGCCTAGCTTGCCATCTTAGTGCTTTGAATTCAGACAGCTACTGAAATGTTCCACTGCTCATATGTAGAATATCCAGAATATCATTGCAGTGTCTGAAGGATATTTTTAGAAGTAACTGCTAAAGTAGCAGTGGAAAATTTCTCGCAGTGCTCAGAAATCTGGAAATGAGAGTCAAGGGGTACAGTATTACTTTTTTTTTTTATAATTAGTTTTTTTAAAAAATGCTGGATCTATGTCACCACCTTTTCCTTTCTCTGCTAGCCCACGCTCTGCTCTTCCTGTCTCACACAAGGACTTGGTCTTTTTCATCCTTAATAGCAGTGTATCTGATTTAGTCTGCAGGGTTTAAATTAAGAGGACACTCAGCAGTAGGGGAAGAAGTGATGGATTTGAAAGCAATTCTCAGGCTTTTCTGTTCTGACTCATTAGCCTGCTTTTTTTTTTTTTTTTTTTTTTTTTTTAACTTAATAAAAACACAATTGCTACAGAGCAGCAGAAATACTGCCTTGAAATACTTTTGGCTGTTGGTGTTTGGGGTGCCACTGGCCACAGGGTGCTCCTGGCTGCCCCTGGAGATCGGGGCTTTGGTCCCCATCTGAACCAGCCCTGACAGCTGCTGTTGCTTGGGGCAACTCTATCTCTGATGCTGCTCCATAAAACATTGAGAAAATTAGATCTCCTCAGCAGCCAGTGTAAAATGGAAATGTTCCCCCCCACGCACACTGACTGCTGGGGAAGCAGGTTTTTTGTCTTGCAAGAAGAGGCAAAGCATCATTGTTTCAACTTGGGTTTTCTCTTGTGAAGTCTCTGTGTAAAGCTGACTTGTTTGTAGCCATGGAAATTCTCACTCCTGTATCGAGTTCTTTGTGATCACGGATGAGGGCAAGCTATCAAAATGGCAGTAGCCTGATCCATCTGCATCTTGGCTACAACCCATATGGGTGCTGATTTAATTCACTGCATATATGCTCTTGTAAACATTTCAAAGTGAACCAAGAAAAGGAAAATGTCTGAAATTAAAATATGAACTAATGAATCTCAGTGATTTGAGATTGTTTGCTTCTGTAAGTAAGAACAATTACACGATTGTGCCTATTAAAGAATGAAAAAAGCTTCATTTCTAGGGCAGTGGAGGGAAGTGGTCCCAGCCCAACCAAGCGTTCAGGGGAGACAAACCAGATGGCAATGGTGTAGTCTTTGGTGAAATTCCCATTTTTCTCTTTCACATCATCCAAAGAGGCTAAAGTGTGCATCTGAGCTTCTTGTTGAAGGTGTCTCCATGTTGCTAATGAGGTCCAGGCAGCCCAATAGGCTTCTGCTGACTGTGGGGAGGAAGAGATGCGTGTTTCTTGCAGGGTAACTTCACAGCCTGGAGTTGATGGTAAATGCTCCTAAACATCTCTAGGAAAAATGGAGTAGTAGAACGTGACATTCCTCACATTTATAATCTAAAAGAATATTTCTATGCAGCTGATGTGCAGCCTGCAGAAAAGGCTGAAGAACAGCTATAGATCCTGCCTTTGGCAACTTTAAAGAAAAGTCTGTAAAATCAGGCAGAACAGCAAACAGAAAAAAAATGGTGTTTGTTTTTTTTGGTGGGGCGTATCATTTTAACTTTTCCTTAGAGAAATGGGATAAGCTGTACAGCCCAGTGTGGTTACTGGGGACCTCAGCTGGTGGTCACTGCCATAACCTCCCAGGAGCAGCTGTGGAAGGTGGTGAGCCATCGCAGCTGTAAAAGACAGCTTAGCTGGGAGGACATTCAGACCTGGAAATGAAATCCTCTGTGTGTTAATCTGTCAGGTAATGAGCCTCACAAAACCAAAACAAGAAGCAAATAGCTGTGTGTTGATCCATGAAGCCATGGGTGTGTTTATGTTGCCTGAAATATTAATGTTGTCATGTAGCAGAGAGGAGCACAGACACCTCTTTGTTCGAAGGCGAGTCTTTGTCTTCCTGACACTGGATTTAAGGCGAGTGCCCAGTTCATGCACACTGCTCATCTCTTACATAAAAGATTTTGTAATTGCTCTTGATACAAGCATAAAACCAGTCTAAAATTCTGGATACCCCATCAATGAAGTGCCTTTATTTTATTTTTGTCTGTTCACTGGTAATAATGTCTTATTTTGGATTATAGGACAGAAAACTCACAAAAGTAGAGAGGCAGAGATTTAAAGAGGAAGCAGAGATGTTGAAAGGTCTACAGCATCCAAACATTGTGAGATTTTATGACTTCTGGGAATCCTGTGTAAAAGGCAAAAGATGCATCGTGCTGGTTACTGAATTGATGACCTCTGGAACACTAAAGACGTAAGTACTGCACTCCTAGTGAGGAGGCTAAGAATAGCGATGGAAATTTTTAGAAAAATCCTACTTTCATATTCTGAAAAAAGGCATTGACAGATAAAAGAAAAAAAAAATAGAACTATTCTCTTGTGTCTGTCATTTGTCCCTGTGTTTAAACTGCATTGATTTGACAGGAAGAATTT